TGTGCTCTGTACATGTGATTAAGGAATGGCATGGATATTCAAGTGTATTTGAATTGCATTTGTTTGTTTTTGTCAATATTATGCTAAAATATACTTTGCTCAACTATATTTAAGTTCCCTAAGAAGAGCCAACCTTCAATTTTGAAAATTCCCAGTTTATTCCCATAAATTCCCGTTAATTCCCGTTTATTCCCATTAATTCCCGTTAATTCCCATGGAAAGTTTCCATCTTTGAAAATTCCGGGAATTTTGCAACCCTATTGCTACCTCCACCATGTCCTGGACTAGTCAAGGACGTAAGAGGTAGGGAAAAGACGCCGGCTTTACACCAAAACTCCCAACAAAAGGCACATTGAAAGAGATGAAAGGAGATAATGATACGGGCAGCACAAAATCTACTCCCAATCAGGCCAATGCCAGTGCTAAGGATCATAACTACAACCGTAGTGTAAGCCCTGAACTCACGCTGATGCCAGTCTCCAACCCAGACACTCCAGACAGACCTGCTGATAAAAAGCCCAAAAGTGGTATAACCCTTGCTGATTTGCAAAACAACATTGCTGCATTAATTAATGAACGCTCTGATAGTTTGGAAGCTCTAATCAATAAAAATACTGACAACATCGAAACCTTAAAGACATCCATTGACTTTATGTACTGAGAAGTCGAATCATTAAAAAATATAGCCAAAACAGTTAAGGCTGCGTCTTAGAGGAATGACAGAAGACTGTCCCAAGTGGAGCTGAAAGTTAACGACCTTGAGAGATATCACCGCAGATGGAACCTAAGGCTTCATGGTGTCCCAGAGCAGAAGCAAGAAGATATTACCACTAAAGTACTCGACATCTGCTGTGCTGATACTGGGGAAACTAGTACGTGCTTCAAAATCTGTGTTGATGTAACCCATCGTTTGGGCCTCTACCAGGATAGTCAGAGAAAGCCAAGATCCATCATTATTCGGTTCTCCACCAGGTCAGCCCGTGACTTGGTTTGGAGGAAAGCCAAAAGTAACACGTTCCTAAAGGATAATCACCTGAGATTCACTGAGGGTGATAATTGAAGGAAAGGAGGTGCACCCCCCATTCAATTCGTCTGAAGATGTTGGTCTTGCTTTGATGGAGGTCACCCAAAATCCTAAAGGTAGCAAGTAACAGCTATTGCATTTATGCCAGCCATACATATGTTCTTCATGAGGGGAGGTGAACTGTTAATTTCTGTGTTAGGCTACATTGTCTATATCATTGTCATCTCTGTCAGGGCTTTAAGAGATACTGTTAAACGTAAAGCATTATTTTTATTTGCAAACCAGTTGAAAACTGATTTTGTTTTTTTCCAAGAATCACATTCTGTTAAACAAGACATTACTTTTTGGAAAATGCAGTGGAGCAATGACTTATGGTTCTCACATGGTTCAGAAAGATCTGCAGGAGTTACTACTTAAAAAAACAAGTTCAATGGGAATGTTATGCATTTTGATTCAGACCCTAATGGTCATTATTTGTTATTGATTGTTGATGTTGAGGGTGCATTCTTTCTTCTTGCTAATTTTTATGGGTACAACTCTAAGGGGAAAATGACAATTTATTAGAGATTACAGAAGCGCAGGTTTTGTTATGGTTATCCAAATATCCTAACCTTTTGTTAATAGTAGGAGGTGATTTTAATACAGTTCCTGATCCTTTCTTAGATAGATGGCCACCTAGCACAAATCCATCTCCGTCTGTTTGCATAAATGCATTTATGGAAAAATTTAATTTAATAGATATTTGGAGAGTCAAAAATCCCAACTTAAAGTTATATACATGGTTCAACAGTTCAAGCTTATCCAGATCTCGAATTGACTTCTGGTTAATCCCCAATCTTTTAGATAAAAATATTATAACAGTTGATACACTACCGACTCCATTAACTGACCACAAAGCCATTTCTCTACAAATTTCCCTTAGGCCGAATATTGTCCGAGCATACAGGAGCTGTTACTGGAAGCTTAATAACTCCCTTCTGAATCATGAAAATGTTATTTTAAAAAAATGCATTAATTACTTAAACACTATTGGAATAAAGCTTTACTTAATAATCACTACTGTCAAAACTGGGAACTATTTAAATATGAGGCTGCCAAATTTCTAAGAGGTTACAGCTCTTCAATGGCGAAACAAAGGGAAAAGGAGGAGATGGAGGTGATAATTAAGATCTCTGCTCTCATTCAGATTTTACCTGAGAACCTATCTGATGAGGATAAAATAGACTTGGCTTTATACCAAAATAAACTAAATGACATTTTTAAAGGTAAAGCAGAGGGAGCTTTTATAAGGTCAAGGAGAAGATGGTTAGAAGAAGGTGAACAACACTCATCATACTTTTTTAAATTAGAGAAATCCAAAGCTAAATTTAACTCTATCCAAAAACTTAATGTAGATGGGGTCATAACTGATGACCCTCGCAAGGTTTCGTCTTTTTGCTCCATGTATTACAGAGATTTATATAAATCTAATTATGATATGGACACCGCTGACTGCTTTCTTAGGCAACTTACTGGTACACAAATGATTAAGGATGATCAGATGAATTCCTGCGAGAGACCAATAACTCTTGATGAAGTCCTAACTGCAATTCGTCGGCTCAAACATAATAAATCTCCAGGTACAGATGGTCTATCTGCTGAATTTTATGCTGCTTTTGCAGAACAACTAGCCCCATTTCTTAATGTTTACACAGAAAGTCTTATTAAGCAATCTCTCCCTACTTCATTAACCCAAGGTCTATTAACCTTAATCCCTAAACCAAATAAAGATCCTCTTCTTATTGGCAACTGGAGGCCAATCTGCCTACTTAATAATGACTACAAAATAATAGCTCAAATTTTTGCCAAAATATTAAAAGATGTCTTGAATGACATTATTGATGAAAATCAAACTGGCTCTATGTCTAAAAGACATATATCGAATAACATTAGGCTTGTTCTAGACTTAATTGATTATTCAGATTTTTGTGAGGACAATAATTTTATATTATTTGTGGATTTTCGTAAAGCATTCGATACTATTGAACATGGCTTCATTTTTAAGGCTTTGAACAAATTTGGCTTTGGCCCCTTCTTTATAAAAGCTATTACAACATTATATAATAATGCTAACTGCTCCATTAAATTGCATGCAGGTACTTCTCCTACTGTAGATTTGATCTGAACCAAGGTATCAGGCAAGGCTGCCCTATTTCCCCATACTTATTTTTGATCTGTGCCCAACTTGCAATTTTATATGGAAGAATATAATCCATTACATTAAGAAATCAGTTCTATCCAACTCCTCCTCAAACGGTGGTGTTAATTTTTATGACTTCTCGACACTAAACAATGTATTTAAAATAAACTGGATCAAACAATTTCTCAAAAACCCTACTTGAATTTGGAATTTCATCCCCAATTTTATATTTTCAAAACTTGGTGGTCTTAAATTTTTTCTATTATGCAACTATAATGCTGATAAAATACCTATCAAACTATCCAATTTTAATAAACAAATGCTTCTCTCCTGGTCCCTACTTTACAAACATAACTTTTCCCCACACAGGTATTATATTTGGAATAATAGAGATATATTATATAAACACAAGTTTTTATTTTTAAGCAATTGGTTTGGTCATAGTATTCATCTTGTTACACAACTTCTTGACTCAGAAGGTAAATTACTTTCTTACACAGATTTCTTGAATGTATATGGTTTCCCTGTTCCA